CATCCACCCATCCACCCATCCACCCATCCACCCATCCACCCATCCACCCATCCATCCATCCATCCATCCATCCATCCACCCACCCACCCACCCATCCAGACACTCAAGCCAGAAACCTGGCTGACTTCCTGGGTACTTCTCCTCTCCAGTGTGTTAGTCAGGTTAGCCTAGACTATGCTGTAGCAGTAGTCAACATCTTAAATCTCAGAGACTTAGTTAGTGACATTTCTTGCTTGCACATGTCACAGGCCAGTACAGTCAGCAGAAGTGGGAGGTGGAGCTTGACTTCACACAGTCATTCTGGGATCCAGGCTCCTTCTCTCTTGGAACGCTGCCTCCATCAACACGTGGCCTCCAGAGGTGCTGCAGAGAGGGAAGAGAGGAAGGCAGTAGACACCTGTGAGGCCCGTTACCCACTCACCCACTTCTACCCCCTTACTATGGGTGAGAAACAAGTCACGTGGTGCAGGCGAGCACTAACTATCTCTGGCATGCTCACTGCCACGTCCAGCCAGTCTGTCACTCACTGAGCCCTGTCAGTCCTGCCTCCAGACTCGAGCCTGTACGGGATTGCTCTCCATCTCTGCCACCGTCACTCCAAATCAAGCCCCTTTGTTCCACTCCTGGACTACTGCATGTCCTGACAGGTCTCCCCATGTCTGTTTTTCTGCCATTGAAATATATCATTTTTCCTCACACATCCAAATCAGACCATGTGTCTCCTCGGCTTAAACCCCTTCATAGTAGGCAGAATAATGCCTACCCCCTCCAAGAGATGCCCACATCCTAATCCCCAAAACCTGTGAATGTGTTGCTTTTTATGGCAGAAAAAACTTCGCAGATGTGATTAAGTTAAGGATCTTGAGATGGAACGTTCATCTTTGGTTATTTGGGTGGATCCAGTATAATCACAAGGGTCCTTATGAGTGAAAGAAGGAGGCAGAGAGTCAAGGAAGGAGAGAGATTTGAGGATCTTACTCTGCAGACTTTGAAGATGGAGGAGGGGGCCATGAGCCAAGGAAAGTGGGTGGCCTTTTGATTCTGGAAAAGGCAAGGAAATGGCTTCTCTCCTAGAGCCTCCAGAAGAAATGCAGCCTTGCCAACACCTTAATTTTAGCCTAGTGAAACCCATTTTGGACCCCTGACCTCCAGAACTATAAGATATTAAATTGTGTCATTTAAGGCACTGTTTGCTTACAGACTTACAGCAGCAATAGGAAACTAATACACCATGCGATGGCTTCTCTTAGCATTTAGCATAAAATCCAAAATCATTAACATGACCCACCAGACTATAAGCACTGGGTCCTTTTTATTCACCCTGTATGGAATAAAAACTGCAGTGTCTGCTCAGAACAGGCACTTAATAGTTCATGAATAAATGAAAAGGGGAGGGGACAAGGAAAGGGAGAAGAAAAATGGGTAAAAAGAGGTGGGAGAGGAAAAGGAGCAAAGGCACCTTGAAATCTTCCAGCCCCAGCAAAGCTAGGCTTTGTTGAGACTGCAGTGTGAGACGTATGGGGATATACAAGCTGGGTGTGTTCTGTGTGAGTGGAAAGAAAATAAGTTGCTGTCTTTAGTCAGAAAAACTCAAGGCTTTCTCAGGAGCACAGCTCCTGTCCTCCTAAGCTCGGGGGAAAAGAGCCCCTGGGAGGATTGAGCTCCAAGGCCCCTGAGGCCAGAGCAGGTCTCATTAGAAGGGGGAGGAGGTGAGGCCCACTTCCTGTCTGGTTCAGCTGGGAGGTGTTAACTGCAGAAAGGTGCCCTGGGGCATTCTGGGAATTACCAGTGATGTGGGCCAGGGGTGGGCAGAGGGCTGTGAGCTCCCCATGGGGTCAGGGACATTGCCCCTAGACCCAGACACTGAGATTTGGGCCCTGGGGTCATGTGGTCTCTTTCTAGGCTTCTCACCTGCCCTGGTGCTGTAGGAATTGCCCCAGGACTCTGGGGGGACCTGAGGCTGGCGGCATAAGGAAGTACCAAGAGTTGCCTGCGATCCTGAGAGTTCCCAGGCCCTGGGGTCAAGCAGGGGGAGCCTTGGCAGATGTCCCTTAGCAGGCATCTCCAGAATTGAGCTCTGGTCACTCAAGGAGACCAGGTGTTGGGGTTTTCTGTGCAGGTTTTGAGGAGAGACCCAGTCCTTTCCCTGCGCTCTGCCCTCAGATGTAAACTTCACGTCCTTGTCTTCTCCACTGCTGTAACCCTGGTGCCTAGATGGTCCCTGGCACATGGTAGGCACTCAGTAAATAGTTGTTAAGAGAATGTGTCCTCTGCCTGCCTCTGCACCTCTGACCTCCAACTCCAGAGCCCCCTTCTCCCTGCCTGCCACCTCCACCTGACCCCTGCATTCCTCCCTGCCCCTCAGCCCTCATGACCCTGCTCACTCTGTCCATTGTGGCCCTGACCTCAGCAACGTCAGCTGGCAGTAGCAGCTGGCTGTGCAAAGGCCTAATGTTCCACATTACGCTAGCATCTGTTGGCTGGGGCTCCCGGGGCATGGGCCATACAGTGCCACGCTTCACGGTCATTCCACGGTCAGCACAGGCCACAGCAACCAAAGGTGTGGTGCTGGGTCTCCTTCAAGGATGCAATGTCACAGCTGCATGCTGCTATATGTCCTGCAGTAATGGGTTGACAGGAATCGATAACTGGCCTGTAGCTGTGTGACCTGGGACCCGTTCCCCCCCGCCCCCGCCATCTTCCACTCAGTGTCCTTGCCTTCTTGGTTGGTTGTGCTCAGAGCTTTCTGTGATACTTCTGGCTCCTAGACACTGTCATTCCGTGGGCAGATTTCTGTAGGCCAGTGTGACTGGGAGTGAATTCCAAATAGCAAGATCTGCATTCAGAGAGACAGGGTTTTTTGCATCCAGAAGCTGCCGATGCCTTCTGGTCCAAACAGCACCTGAAAGTCCGGACCCCAGCAGACAGACGGTGAGCTCCCGGGGCCTGCCACAGCCCGCTTCCTTGCCTGGCATCTGCCCAGCTGACCTCTGGGACATGTCAGCAGCCATCCCCAGGCTTTCATATCACCTTGTGGTCCCTGCTTCCTTTCCCCACCTGGGCAGTGACTCCCAGGGAGTCCTCACTGAAGCAGAGCAGTGAATGAAGATAACAGCAGTGAGCATGCGCTGAACAAGCCTGGTGCCATTCTGGGAGCTTTACAGTATCAACTCACTAATCCTCACAGCAGCCTGGATGCAGGGGGCTACCGCTGTCCCTCTCCATGGCCATCTTTCTGGACCCCTTGGCAGAGGCTGTTCCCTTTCCTGCAGCTCTGCTGCCTGTTGCTCTGTACTTCTGCCCCTCCCCGCACTTGTCACTCCCTTGATGGCATCACTGCCTGTGCTTCTTCTACTCACCCCGTAACTGTGGGGAGGCCATGGGTCCCTCCTGAGTGCTCTCCTCACTTTCCATCCTTGCCCTGGGTGAGCGCTGTCATCCCACGGCCTCTACCACCGCCTGTGTGCTGGAGTGTGAGGGCAGGGGCCGCAGTACCATGATAAAGAATTGAGGTACTAGGGCTACTGAAAGCTTTTAATTGGTGGTGGTGGTGTGGGGGGCTGTGTATGTGACACGGCCAGATATCCATTTGGAAAAGCTTAGGGTCATAGTTGTGTGGGGTTGAGGGAATTGTGGTCCCGGGTTGAACAACAAGCACCTGGCTTTGGTGGTGAGAGGGCATGGAGAGTAGGCATGGCTTCCACCAGGTGGTCAGCCCAGTGGGACCCGATTTGGCACAAGTAGCAGGAGCAGATGAAGCCAGGGAGCTCCCAGCTTTCTAGCCGGGCTGAAACGGAGTGGGGTTTTAGTAGGAGAGGCCGAGCATGTGAACCATCTGCGGTCCCTGCAGGCAGGTGGACAGCAGCCACCCGGCCACGGGATCAGCCCTCTGGGAGTGCATGGGCCCGAGGGCCAGGGATGGTCTCTGTGCAGTTCTGTGACATCTGGGAGCAGGGTGAGCTTGTGCCAGGCAAGTGGGGCAGGGCAGAGCAGCCGCCAGCACCCACGATCAGTCTGGTAGGACAGGGTGTGACCCAGTGAGGGCTGGGTGGTCTTTGGATTTGGCAGTGAAGAGGTCACTGGTGACCTCAGCAAGAGGCGGTTCAGTGTAGAGAGGGACAGAGCTGGCCCGGCAGGGATGGAGCCTGAAGGGGAGGTGGGGGGGTGGCAGTGGGCACGTAGGGAGCTCCACAGGTGGGGTGTGGGGGCGTCAAAATTTGGTCGTCATACTTGACATCTTCGTATTCCTCACAAGGAAGTCACCAAGTCCTGATGACTCCTAAATGCCCCTCCATCTGTCCGTCCCCTCCTATCCCTCAGCCCATCCCTGTGACGCTGTACTGGCCTCTGAAGCGCTCCTTGCCCCCTGTCTCTTCCCGCTCCTCTGATGGCCGTCCCTTTTCTCCACCTGATGGACAGACTTGTGCTCTTCCCTCCAGTGCCGGCATCACCAGCTCCCCTTTCCAGGCCTACCCCGGGAGGCCAAGGGTTGGGGGCAGCAGCCTGGGCCAGCGGCTCCTGCCCCTCCCCAGGGAAAGGGAGGGTCTGCCGAGGAGGGGGTCTGAAGCAAGCGAGACCACGTTATGCTGGAGGAGGCGAGGAGAAGCCTGGAGCCGCCCAGGGTGACGTGGGAGGGGCTGCCACAGGGATGCTGGCACTATTGCAGTCCCCACAGTCCTGCTGGGCATATAGGGCTGTGGGTGGGGCAGTGGTGTGAGTCAGGCGAGGGCTCCCTCCCTGCCCTGGGAGCTTCTGAGTGGCTTGTGTCTCCACTCCTTTTTGGTGTCCTTCCAGTAAGGGCTGAGCACCCCTCCATAGGAAGTCTTGCCTCCTCTCCCCTGAAACAGCTGCCCACCCTCTGCGAGGGCCTGGCTTGTGAACACACACACATGTATTTGTGTGGGTGGTGGTGTGCGTGTGTCCAGTGTGCGTGTGCATGTGTGTGTGCGTGTGTCTGCGTGTGCCTGGACCCCCACTCACTGTGGTTCTCTTCCCCACAGGCTGCCCTGGGATGTGGGATAACATCACGTGTTGGAAGCCTGCCCATGTGGGTGAGATGGTCCTCGTCAGCTGCCCTGAACTCTTCCGAATCTTCAACCCAGACCAAGGTGGGTTTAGCCCAGATTCTCTTCAGAACACACTTGGTCCAGCCGGTTCCCCCAACTTGGCCCCAGGCCCTCCTGGGAGACAAGTACCTGAGACTGTGGGCAGAGATTTCTTGCTCCAGAGCTCGCAGCTGGTGGGGAGGATGAAGCCACAGACACCAGTGCATACATGGGGAGGGACATAGAAGCATTCTTTTGATGCGACGTTGTGCCCAGGTGCATGTGGGATGCGTCACTGTGTGTGGGAGCAGGGCTGTGCTCTCAGGCATGGGGGTCAATCTGGCTCTGTCACTTACTTCCTAGGGACCTTCAGCAAGACAGTCACCCCTCCATGGGGGTGACTAGTCTGTCCCATGGGAATGTGGCATGGCTCCCTCTCAGGGTGTCTCTGTGAAAGTAATGTGAAAAAGTGAACACGGATGTCACAGCACAGGACCTGGTGAATTTTAATGTTCAGTAGTAAATGTTAGCTGATGTTATCGTGACTGTCACTCATACAGCCACTGAGATTCCCAGAGCCAGGAGAGACGAGTGGGTGGGGTCACACAATTAGACACCCTCGGGCAGAGTGAGTGTGGAGAAGGCAGCTGGACACAGGACACTGACCTCTGTCACAGTCCTCTGCAGATGTGGGCACAGAGCCCGGCCCTCACAGCAGGCTAGCGCATACTCACCTTTGCCTAACAGAGCATTCTGTGTGCTCACTGCCCTTAGGCAGCTGTGAGCGCTCAGGAGAGGAAGGGAGGGGGTCTTGCCCTTGGGGGCTCCTGGGCTTCTGGGGAGAGGATACTGGCCACACGGGAAACTGTGTAGTCCATGTCTTGCAGATGCTGGCTTGGGGTCAGTATGTGGTGGCAACCCCCCTGTCCCCCACGCAAGGGCAGGCTGGTGGGCGTGGTTTCATGAAGGGCTCCATTTTCAGCGTGTCTGGTTTGCGGTTTCCAGGGTCATGGAAGCTCTATGGAGATACGCAGATCCATGCGGGCAGCCATGGGGTGGGCAGATTGGCTGTGCTCTCTGACACGGGATGTAGGGAGGAGGGCAGGGGAGAGAGGGCAGTGCTCTGCCCAAAGGCACCAAGCCCTAGTGGTCCCATCTCCGTTGGGGGTCGGAGGGTGGTGTCTGTGGGGAAGAGTGGCTGAGGATCACTTTTGTGGATGAGTCTGTGGGCTCTTCCAGGCCAGTTTCTGCCTTTTGGCTGGAGCCTTGTGAGCTCCCACAGAAAGCTGGTGTCCGGCCAGTCCACACTGGCTTTCTGCCCCAGACCCTGGCCCTCCACCACACCCCCTTGTGGGTGTCAAGGGAGGCAGGACAGCAGGCCGTGGGCGCAGAGTGGGGCTGGGCAGGGAGGGCTAGTGACGCTGGCTCCAGGCAGGTGATTCACCAAGAGCCATCCCCCGCCACTGAGCCTGGGCTGGGCCTTAGTTTGAGAAGTTTGAGAAGGAGGGGTGGGAGCTCCTAAGGGGATCAGAGGGGTCTGAGTTGTATGTGGCTGTGGGCAGGTCCTCTATGTCCTGGCCTCAGCTTCCTCCTTCACCAGCCTAAAGCTTAGGCTCATGTCCTTCTAGAAGTGGAGCGTTTCCAAGCTCTGCTCCAGCACTGAGTCCTGCCTGCCACTGTCCCTTGTCCTGAGAGGCAGAAGGCAAATTCACTTTCAACACCCCACTGTCTTGAATCCCTGGAGGGGAGGGGCTTGCAAGAGGTGGCAGAAGGAGAGAATGGCACATATTGGGGTCCCATCAGGACTAGAGAAGGTGGGGTTTATCTGTGATACACCCCACAGCCCCTCTGCACCCCACCTCTGGGGCCTGCCAGCCTCACCATCCACCTCCAGACGTCCTTCCAGCCCAGAGGAGAGTGGCGGTTGAACCCTTCCATCCTGAGGGGTTGGGGGCTGGGTGTGACCCAGGCCAGGCTAGGGGGTGAATTTCAAAAGGGGAGATAGGCAGGGGAGTGCTGCAGTGAGAGGTACAGTGTGAGTGGAGGGAAGACAGGAGCTGGTGGCAGCTGGTGATTCAGCTGGTGCCTACTTCATTCCTATACAAACCAGTGTAATCACTTCCTCCCTTCGTGCACTCCTTCCATTCAGTCATTTATTGAAAGTTTGTTGAACATCTACTCTGGGTCAGATTCTATGCCAAGACTCCTGCTTTTCAACAATGACAACAAAAGGCAAAATGAATCAACAGTAACATGAGATTTTGTTAAGATACGCTTTGCTGCAGACTCCCTCCCTCATGATGGCACCGTGAATGCGGTGTTACTTACACCTGCTTCTGAATGGTTCATTAAGGCGGGGCCTTTTGGCACCTCTGTTCACAAGCTTGATTGGTGAGACTTGCCTTAAGTACTTAGAAGGGAGAGAACGGAATTTCTCATTTTATTTCTTGGTTCTCAGGTAGCTCATGATGGTAGTTGTGGCGGTGCAGGATGTGGGAGATACTGGAGATACAGGAGCATCGACCTCTCTCCTGCTCTCCCATGCCTCTGCCCATTTCTGTTCTGGAGGTAGTGGTAGAAGTCTCCAGTGTCTGGTTGCTCCCCAGCTTGGAGTCCTCATGCCTTCTGGGCCCCCTGCAGAGCCTCCCTGTAGAATTTGAGGGTGGCTAGGGGGAGGAAGTGAGCAGCAGGACTCTGTGAGAGCAGACCCTGACTTCAGCCCCACACTTACCCCTGTGTTCTCTCTCTCTTTCTCTGTTTCAGTCTGGGAGACTGACACCATCGGTAAGAGGAATCCTGGTAAGGACAGACCACTGTCCATCTGTTCATCCAGCAGGAGGCCAACCTCAGGAGATCCCAGGCTCTGGCTGCTGGGGTGGGGTGGGGTGGAATGAGAGACTCAGCAGGGGTCAGGTCCTCCCCTCCTATGCAGCCCCACACCTTGGCCATCCTGGTGGGAAACAGGAATATGAAAGACACAGACCTTGACCTCAGCATCCTCATGGGCCTGTTGGGAGGATGAGACTCACAAAGGAGGGGTTAGAAAACAAGCCCACATATGTGCATATGGCGCATGCATGTGCATACTTACAGGTGTGGATGTATGCATGAGTCCATGCAGATGCTGCCAAGTCCAGGCTGAGAAGTTGGAATGTACATCAAGCAAGAAAACAGAAAAGACCAAATGATGCAGCATGCAGTTAGAATAGTGAAGAGGTCGGGGGAGGCTTCCTGGGGGAGGTGGCATGTCAGCTGGGTCTTGGAAACAAGAGTGGAGGGGAAACGGGTTTATTGCTAGCAGGGGATTTGGCTTAAGAAAACGTTCGTAATAAGAATAAAGAGTAGAGACAGAAGGAGAAAAATGGTCTGAGGGTGAAGTCTTCGGAGTTCTGGGTTCCCTTTGATGAAGTTTTAGAGGCTGAGATGGAGGGTTGGGCACCAAAGAAGAAACCTCAAGCCCTGGGCCCATGTTCTTTGCCCTTTTTTTTTTGAAAAGGTCCAGTCCTCCTTTTCCGTTTCCTCCCATTCCTGTACACCCATTTCTGTTTCTGGTGGTGGGGTGGTGTGGTCTGGGTCCTGGACAAGTGTGAGCATCACAGAAATGCAGACCCAGGGAGGCAGGTGTGAGAAGTGGCACAGCTAGTATGTGTGGTGCTGCTGCTTGGCTGGGACCCTCCCACCCCCAGTCCCTCCAGCCCGGGGGCAGCCTAGGTCCTCCAGAGTGGACGGTCAGCAGGGGCTAACGTGGCCAGTGATAAGCCAGGCATTTTGACACATGCCATGTCTGTGTTTTGCAGATTTTGATTTTACTGACAGTAATTCCTTGGATCTCTCAGGTAAGGGGATAGGGCGAGGTTGACTGAGGGCTGGCTGGAGGGAGGGCCTCTGCTGCTACATGTGAGCTTTGAGTTCCTCATTTCAGGTCAGGTTCTGCCCCTCGGTGGCTGTGTGCTCTTTGGCAGAAATGTGTTTCTTCTTTGATAAAGCTCCCAGTTCTCTCATGGAAAATTGTACTTGAGCGCATAGACAGAATATCATACATACAATTTTGGGGGATCTGTGGATCTCTTGAAGCTCCTGTGTGGACTCCAAGTAAAGAAGTCCTGGATTATGTGGTCCCTGAGAGTTTTTGAACTGCAGTGTGTAGAACAGTGCTTCTCAAACTAGACTTGTGTGTCACAGTCACCTAGTGGCTTGTTAAAATGCAGATTCCTGGGCTGCACCCCACAGTCTCTAGTAGGCCTGGGGGTCTGGGAATGTACATTTTTAGCTGTCTCCCAGGTGATCCTGATGGGCTGATCTGGGGAAGGTGCCCACTTTGGGAACCACTGCCCTAAAATTCTGTGCTCCTATGAAGTTGCTGCAGCAAAAGAGCCCAGTGAAGTAGGCTCTGTCACTGCGGGGTTTTGACAATCTGGAGAGCACTCCACCTTCCGGAGATTTCTAGCAGAACAATAGAGTGGCAAATTTACAAAACTGTTCTGAATGAAAAGTCTTCTACTTTTCTGAGCCTACACTGTTATAAAAAGAAGAAAGAAGGAAAATAATAGAAAGGAAATGGCTTTTCCCTCTAGGATGCTGTTTTAAAAAAATAGTTTTTCAGAGCAACTTCCCTTTCCTCTTCCCACCACCCTGATGTGGGCACAGCAGAGGGCAAATGAGGCCCAGGGAGGGGAAGGACTTGGCTGAGGCGATGGTTCTCCTGGGATGCTCAGACTTTATGAAAGAAATGTTCAGAAAAACTTGTCAGGAAGGTGCCAGCTACGGCTGAGGCAGATTTGCTGGAGGAAGGGACAGTTTGGCATCAACCGTGGGCAGAAGTGAACTCCTTTCCTCTCCCCAGGCCTGCCAACCTTCTCCCGGCCCTGCGCCATGGAGCTCAGAATTGGGGATGTGGGGGAGGCCAGTCTCCTCACTCTGAGCAGAGCTCTCCTTTCTGGCAGGGTCACCCCCTCTGCCACATCCCTAAGTCCCAGGAAGTGGCATTTCTGACTTTCTTGGCTAAAGAGAACTGGCCTTAAGTCTTCCGACTCAGCCAGCAAGGACAAGGTTGGAAAAGTGGAGTGGGCCCCTCCCGTGACCTCAGCCTCCTGCCGAGCATCTGCTCAGCCCACTGCCCTCTTTGCCTCCTTCCCCAGCTCCCAGACGTGGCCCCGGCCACAGAGGGAAGATTCTGTCCAGTGGTGTGAGTGCTGGAGCCCCTTTTCTGCAGGTGTCTCTTGTTCTACGTAATTTCCTGGTCCTTGAATCCTGTGAAGGGAAGACCCATCCCCATGTGTCCTGATACACCAGATAAAGTCCCCAGCAGCCATTCTGGGAACAGGTGTCAGTCTGGGTCCTGAGATGCCAGGCTGGAGGAAAAGGGGCTCTCGCCTTCTCCCCTCCCCTGAATATCAGTGGCCCACCCAGACAGACCATCGGTGAGGGGAGAATGAACTGAGCAGTCATTAAAGGCTAACACAGCTCCAGGCAGGGTGAACACCAGCAGGACTCTACTCTGCAGCCAGCAAATGACTTTTTCAGTGGCCATGACTGACCCCACCCACTTGGGTGTCCCACACAATGGCCTTTAAAGTCAGTCAAAAGGAAAAGTACATTAGTGACAGGAAACAGATCTCCAAACCCTAAAAGGCAAAACTTTTTTAAAAACCTAAATGTATCTTAATAAAATCCTATGCTTGGTTAGTGGAGGTCTGATGGTTGTTAATTAAGCAAGCCACATGTCCCTTTGGTGCGGGATGTCACAGCTTCTGGGAGGCCCAGAGCCAAGGGAAAGCATCACCTACAGTTGTGTCTTCAAGGTGTGCCAAGGACCCCACAGGCACCTGGGATGATTCCTGGGTGCACCTGGATCTCCTGCATGAGCGTCCCTGGGAGTGGGGCTGGAGTGTGCATTTGTGATCAGTCTCTGGGAGCTTCTGCATATTGACAGTTGAGAAGTGCTGATGCAGGGCCCAGGGAGGGGTGGAGGACTTTCCCTGGCTAGTGTTTGGGGATGTTCCCAAAGGGAGGCGGGCTGGGATTTGGCAGGCTCAGCCCTCAGCCTAGGTTAAGAGCTCAGCTTGCCCGCCTCCCGGCAGCATCCTCAGTGAAGGCTGAACTCAGAATCATCAGCACCCACTGATTCTTGAACCTGTGTCCCAGGGTTTCCCAGTTGGACACTGTGGGTTTCCAGGCATTCCCACTTAAGTGATTTTTGCAGATGAATTTTGGAGCCCTCTGAGGTCATCTCTGTGCCTCACTGAGCTCTATTTTCACTGCAGTCATGGGGGTTGTGAGCCGGAACTGCACAGAGGACGGCTGGTCTGAGCCTTTCCCTCATTACTTTGATGCTTGTGGGTTTGATGAAGATGGATCTGAGACAGGGGACCAGGTGAGTGTCTGCATGCCACCAGAGGTGGCGGGGGAGGGGGCAAGGAAACTTAGGTCTGTAGACAGTACTCATGAGCTCCTGCTGTGTACCCATGCCAGATGCAATGAGGGCAAGCCATTCATTCACTCCTGGGGGCTGTGAAGCAGCTGGTATGGTGCCCAAATCCTCCACCCCACCACATGCCTCCTGTCACCCTGGCTGCTCTTCTTATGGCCCAGCAACTGCAGGGTTCAGGGCCCAGCAGGGGACTACCTGGTCCCTTCACCAGGCTAAGGCTGCTGTCGTAATTGGTCAGCACTCTTGCCTTCTGTCAGCATTTTTTGAGCATCTGCACAACGGCTGACCCTGTGCAGAGGGGCAAGGGATGGTACATGTGGGGAGAGCGAGATCAGCAGGAGAAGGGAGGGAGGCGGAGCTGGGCCTAGAGGTGGGCTGGGCCTGCCTAGGAAACTGTGTGCAGGTTGGAGGGAGCTGGGGCTGGGGACAGGCCCCACGTGGAGCCCTGCATGTCCTGTGTCCTGCTCCAGGATTATTACTACCTGTCGGTGAAGGCCCTCTACACGGTTGGCTACAGCACATCCCTTGTCACCCTCACCACCGCCATGGTCATCCTGTGTCGCTTCCGGTGAGACCCCCAGCAGCAGCCCACCCCTGCCCAGAGCTGGCCGGGGCCTCAGAGGCTTTGCTCATCTCTCCCACACCCCCTCCTCCACCTGGATATCATCTTGGAAGCTCCCCTGGAAGGCATTTCCCCCACCCCTAGCATAGCAGATGGGAAACTTGAGCCCAGAGAGGGTAACCAGCTTGTCCAGGGCCACACTGCCAGGCAGAACCTAAGCAGGAGACCTCATTTTGTCTTCCAGATAGAGAGTGGTTGCAGGAGGGAGAAGTCTGGCCGTGTTGCGCAGTGGGGCCAGATTACAGGGGCCTGGAAGTCAGTGAGGATTTAGGGAGGTGGCAAGAAGGGGGGTGGCCTCATAGGGGGACCCCTTGAGATAAAGCCGTGGAGTTGGTCTGGAGCAGTCCCTTCTGAGTGGAGGGTGTGAAATGCTTTGGAGCTCACTGCTGGGTTCAAGGCTTCTTCCTGCCTGGCCCGCTTGTGTAGGAAGCTGCATTGCACACGCAACTTCATCCACATGAACCTGTTCGTGTCGTTCATGCTGAGGGCCATCTCTGTCTTCATCAAAGACTGGATCCTGTACGCGGAGCAGGACAGCAACCACTGCTTCATCTCCACCGTGAGTGAGCTGCACGGGACCTGCCGCTCCAGGACTCGCTCTTCCTGTGACACCCTGCAGGTTGAGTGTGTTCCTGCAGGTTAAAGCGTTGCCCCTGCTTAACTTGGAAATCCAGGAGTCAGTATGAAGTTATGAGTAGCCAATGTCAACATCACTTCCAGCCAAAATGCTTTCTGTCCCTTGGCCTGGGTGTTGTACTTTGCAGAGCAGTTGAGGAGGGTTGGGTGGGACTGGCAAGTCCTACTTGACTGACGAGGAGACTGAGGCTCAGAGAGGGCTTGCCTGGTCCCTGGTCATTTAACTAGCCTGTGATGGAGCCCAGGGGTCTTTCCAGACACCTCCCAAGTTGATACCTTTGGAGACCGTAGTGTGCAGAGCAGCTGGGATTTGGTGGGCTTGAATAGGAAGGACAGTCTGGAGCCCAGGCCTTGAATGAGAGGGCATGCTTGGGCAGGGGTCTCTGTGAGGTTTCTTAGATCTTTGGGATGTTTGCGCTGAACACGCTAGAGCCGAAGGGCCCTCGATCCTCCCCTGGCACTGTTGGGCTGGATTGTCACGGTTCGCGTGGGGGTGGGGCGAGGAGCTCACACCACCCTCGCCTTGGCATCTCCCTGCAGGTGGAGTGCAAGGCTGTCATGGTTTTCTTCCACTACTGCGTCGTGTCCAACTACTTCTGGCTGTTCATCGAGGGCCTGTATCTCTTCACCCTCCTGGTGGAGACCTTCTTCCCCGAGAGGAGATACTTCTACTGGTACACCATTATTGGCTGGGGTAGGTCGCTGGCATGGCTTGGACGGCTCAGGCCTCGTGGCCAGTGTGTCCTTGGTTCCGCTTCAGGGCGCATCAGGTGAGGAGGGGCACTGCCCCACACTAGGCTGATGGCTGCTGCTAGTGCCCGTTCTTGCTCTTCTTGCCCGTGGGAAGCCCACCGTCCGAGGGGGACGTCATGCCCAGGAGGCCTTCTGAAGGGAAAGATAGCCCTAGGACTGGGGGAGACACAGACCCCAGGAGGTCTGGGTGTGAGGGACAGGGTCCCCAGGAATTCTGAGCCTGAGGGGACGCTGGGCATGTTGGTTTTCCTGTTACCATGGGCTCTTCTTCGTGCCCTTCCAGGAACCCCCACTGTGTGTGTGTCGGTGTGGGCGACGCTGAGGCTCTACTTGGATGACACAGGGTGAGTACTTGCCCAGAGCACAGAGTAGACGCTTAGGGATGGGTTCTCAATGGCTGCTCTGACTTTACATGAACTGCCCCCTGACGACCACACAGCCCTGTGCAGGGGGACCCCCCACCCCCGCGTCTCAGCCAGCAACCCAGCAGGAGAATGTGCAAGGTTTCTGAGTCCCTCTCTGCATCTGGGCCCAGCTCTGTGTCTGTTTACCTTTTAGGGAGGGGTGGGAGAATGTGGAGGGTGAGGTCGCACCCAAGAGCCCTGGGTCTGAAGGGGAACATGACCCTTCCCAGGAGCCCCTTGGTGACCCTGACTCCTGGGCTCTAATCCCTGCCGTGACAGGGCAGCAGAGGGGAAGATTGGGGTTCTGGTCTGCAGCCCACTGGAGAGCTCTCCTAGCAAAGCCCCTCCTCGGGGATGTGGGGGGAAGAAAGTGACGGACACCCAGCTAGCCAGGGCAGTGTCCTGCAGGCGTCTGGGCTGAGCCCTGGATTTGATCTCTGTGTCTGTCCGTCTTTCAGCTGCTGGGACATGAATGACAGCACGGCTCTGTGGTGGGTGATCAAAGGTCCTGTGGTTGGCTCTATAATGGTGAGTGACCTTGGGACACAGAGGCAGGGAAGAGACAGGGCCCTGGGCAGACAGGCATGTGAGGAGGGGAAATGAAAGGGTCGCCACACAAGTGACCCTTGTCCTTTGTCATGGCTGTATTATATACTGGATATGGACACACAAATTATTTAGCTGTTCCTCTAGTGCTGGATATTTATATTGTTTCATTTTTCTTCATTATGAAAGATGTTCTAGGGCTAGTTTTGTGAATAATTTTGAGCATGTGGATATATTTCTTTAGAACAAATCTCTAGAAGTGGAATTGCTGGCTCACAAAGGGTGCACATTTAAAATTTCAGATCCCAAATTGTCTTACAGAAACCTTTTAACAGTTTACACCTTCTCAGGAAGAGCGGCTTCTGTCCCCATGACACTGTCTGCACTTGTAACATCAATCATTTACATTTTTGCACAGTCTAAGGAGAAAAATGGTAGTTAATTGTCTTAATTTCTCCATATTGCTAGTGTGACTGAGCATTTTTTCCCAAACATTTATTGACACTTTTTTTCTATTCTGCATATTCCTGTTTATTCGTTTTGCTCATGTTTCTAGCAAATTGTCTTTCTTACTGTTTGAAGGATAGTAACACTTCACTGGTCATGTACGTGGTAAGTGTATTTCCAAGGCCATGTAACTTCTATACAGTCTAATCGTAAGGTTTTTTCTTCATGAATTCCAAGCCTTATTTCTTGTTTAGGAAGGTCTTTCCTAGATAAGATATAAAAAGATTCTTTTTAATTGTTTCGTAACACTTTTGTGGGTTGAACTATTACTGTACATCTTTAATCCAGCTGAAATTTTATTTTTTGACTGGTCTGAAACGATATTTAGTTTTATTTTTTTAGTGGGTGGACATTCCACCCTCTCAATCCTTTTTATTGAATCCTTTCTCCACTATGTTGAAATGTTATTTTGTAATAAACACTCAACGTACTCATCTTTGGTTCTAGACAGTTCTGTTCCGTGCTGCTAATCTATATGTCTGTTCCCATGGCAGATACCCCATAGTGCTAGTTACTGCAACCTTGTAGCATGTTTCGATACCTGGTATGCAAATTTTCCCTTCATTATTCTTTTTTTTTCTCTTTCGAAATCTCTTCCCCATTTACTCTTTGAGGTAGACTTATCAAGTTTCAAAGAAAAAGTCTGGTTGGGACTTTTTTTTTTTTAGGAATTTGTATAGTAATTACATTGATTTTATAGACTAACCTGGAGGAGAATTGATTTTCTTAAAAGATTGAGTCTTTCTCTGCAAGAATGTGGCATGATTCTCCATTTATTTGGTCTTTCTCACTAAGTCACTTTCGTAAAGTTTTCTAGTATTCTTCCTTGTTTTTGTTACGCTTACCTCTAAGGTGTTTTCCCGTTTGGGCTTTTATTGGGTCTAGGAATTATTTTTTCATTATATTTTCTAGTGGGTTGCTGCATGTATAGGGAAGCTGTTGGGTTTTTTGTATTTTTTCTTAGTTACATTTTTGGACTGATACCAGTTCTTACCCCTTTTCAGTTGGTTCTCATGGTTTTTCTAGGTAGAAAATTGTATAATCTGCAAATAAAAATAGTGTTTGCTTTTCCTTTCCAATATTTGTCCCCTTTATTCCTTGTTTTCATAGGGGATGCTACTTGCTGTAGCTTTTGGCAGTTACCCTTCATTGAATTAGTTTCTCTTCCTGGCTTGTTTCAGTGTGTGTTTTTTAAAAATCAAGAATGAGTGCTGAATTTTAGCAAATGTGTTTTGGAGACATTCATTGAAATAATCATTCCCTTAGTGATGGGCATGTATAGTATTATAATTTTTCTTCATCACGAACAATGCTAGAAGGAATATATTTGTGCATATCTTGAGCATGTGTGAATATGTCTTTAGAATAAATCTCTAGGAGTGGAACTTCTGGGACAAGGGGTGTGTACGTTTAACATTTTCATGGATACTAAATTGCCCTCTATGAGCAAGGTACAGGAGTGCTCATTTCCGATATTTTGCAAATCTTTGTTGATGTTCCTGTTACTGAGTTATTTGCCAATCTTATGGGGAATAGTGGAAGCTTATGTTTTAATCTGCAATTATAACAAATATTAGTACAGTTTTTCTTTTGCATTCCTGGCATAAAATCTTTATGGTCATGATCTGTTTATCCTTTTAATGTGTTGCTAAATTTTGTTTAGTTTCTGCATTGCTCTTCATAAGTTCTGTGTGCATGTGTGTGTGCATGTGTGTGCATGTGTGTGTGCATGTGTGTGTGTGTGTGTGTGTATGTGTGTCTGTGTCTGTTTTCTGTCTTTAGTTTTTGTAGCAGGATTTTGTTAGCCTCATAGGTAATGTGGGAACTTCTTATTTGCTTTAAAACAATTAAGCAGCAGGTAGATTACATCTTCCTTCAAGGTATTCTAAACTTTTGTTCCATCAGATTATACGGGGGCTGGGTGCCTTTTAGTGCATACATCTTTGACTACTTTTAAAATTTCTTCTGAGGTTATTACTCTACTCAGATTTTTTACATTTTCTTAAGTTAATTGTGATAATTTCAATTTTTCCATTTTGTTTGATTTTTTCTTACAGTTTAAAATATTCTGTACATCTGTTGTCTTGTCCTCTTTCTCACCCCTAAATTTGTTTAATTGTATTTTCTCTGCTTTGATTGACTTAACACATGCGGTTAGCAGTGTTTACTAAGCTAAATTCCAGGCACTGATTAGATGTTTGGAGAACATGTAGTGGAGAACGAGATTGACAGAATATTGCCTTCACGGAACGTGCTTTATCATTCTACATGATCTGTAAAAGTGAACAAACAAAATTTTAATTTTATTGATCAAGTCTCCTATTTTTTCCTATTTCTTTTTTTATGAAATTTTGCTGTTATTAATTTCCTTCTTGCAAAAGTTAAATTTGTGGTAATCTTTGCTCAGCTTTAGATTTTAATGCTTAATTATTTTCAGTATTTATTGTTTTTTAATGAGCTCATTTTAGGCTCTCCATTTTTTTCTCCAAGGGCCGCTTTGGCTACATCCCAAACACGTCCATGTGTAGTCCTTTCATTGTGCCTCATTTCTATTTAAATAAATAGAAACCCTCCCTCCTCCTTTCTCACCATACACAGAACTTCCCACATAGTTTAGGAAGCTTTTGTCCCTGATCTTTATCTGATGGCAGTTGCTGCTACTGCTAGTCCCAGGCAGTTTTTTAATTAGTAACACTTGTGGCTGTCCCTTCTGGCTCCCCATATTTGATGACTCTGAGCTTGGAGTTTCTCCAGAAAACAGCTCTCACCTCTGCAAAATTGCCTTCTCTCTATCTTTTTTGGGTTGTAGTTTTCCCATCACCCTGATCCTGTTTTCTCTTTCTCTTTCAAAAATTGCTCTCTTTTTGGGCTCACTCAGGGTACCCTTTCCTACCTACCAGGACTCCTGTGGAATCCTTTTTCTTCTCTGTCTTCCTTTGCTGCCGTGATACTGTGCGAGGCTGGGGAGAGAAATGAGAGTTCTCGTGCTGCCGTCTTGGATTAGAAGTCTAGGTGGGATCTTGGCTAGATGAGGGGAGTGTCCTGTTGGGGGAATAATAGCCTAAGCAGAGGCAGTGGGGTAGAAAGTCTTTGCCCAGAAATCATTCCCAACTGCTTTTTCTTTGCTCCTCAGGTTAACTTTGTGCTTTTCATTGGCATCATTGTCATCCTTGTGCAGAAACTTCAGTCTCCAGACATGGGAGGCAATGAGTCCAGCATCTACTTGTAAGTACCACTGTGTGGATGCCCAGCCATTTCCGACAGCTGTGTGGGCCCTGCACTTAGATCACAGGCAGAAGAAGGCCTGAGCATTGCTGACAGAGTGACCTAGCATGGGCATTTGCAAGGTTTCTTTCTGGTTACAGTACCTTTAAGATATAGTTGCCCTCCCAGCTTTCAGCCAACCCAGGAGCTGCTGATCTTCATGGTTATTACATGGGAGAGAGAAAGAGACTGACAGAGCCTGTGTGACACTAGGAAAGCCAAGATGGCAAATGTCAATTCCCCAGGGTAGTTAGGGTTTTGGTTGTTTAGAGCTGGGATTCCTTCAGGGATCCTGGTTCTGTGGGAAGTGCAGAAACACTACTGGATACACTACTGGGTACCTGCTCTCCCCACCCCTAGTGTGCAGAAGTTGCTTGGTCCCCACTAGCGAGTCAGGTTGCCATTCTCACCGGTCTGGGTGCTGGAAGGGGGATTCTTTCTCTCCTCCACCTTCCACTGGGGCAGCTCTACCTCTGCACCTGCTCCTACTTCCTCAACCGCCTCCTTCCTGAGCCAAAGGACATCTGATTTATTTGGGATTATTGGTGTTTGAGGGCAGCCTCTTACTATTAAGTATAGGGCTTTCTCCACTGTAGCCATTTGATGTCCCAGAAGTATTTTTGCACCATGTTTGTAACAGCTAGCCCCAGCCTGCTCTGTCCCACCCCTCTCCTGGCTCTGTCCCATTCTGGAATCAGACAGAGCACCTTCTGCCTTGCCCTTCTGGCCTCATGAACAGGAGTGTGACCAGCTGGGTGTGTGGGATGCCAGGGAGGGAGGGAGGTTATCCCCTGTGGTTGGCTGGAGGGGCTGGATGGGCACAGTCTGATTCTGAGGGCCGTCCTTGGGGTCTGTCCATTGGCAGGGCACGACCCCAGGCTTGCTTCCTCAGTTCATTCAGAAGAGAGCGGGTTAGAGGGAGCTGAGGTATATCCATAGCATTGTTGGGTGCTTAGTCTTGCCTTCCCCAGACACCCTGACCTGAAGCTGACAGCTTTGGGGGTCTGTCCATTGGCAGGGCACGACCCCAGGCTTGCTTCCTCAGTTCATTCAGAAGAGAGTGGGTTAGAGGGAGCTGAGGTATATCCATAGCATTGTTGGGTGCTTAGTCTTGCCTTCCCCAGACACCCTGACCTGAAGCTGACAGCTTTAATGGCTGCCTGGTGGACAGCATGTGGGACAGCAGAGAGACCCCCACAGAGGGCTCCCCCAGCCCTCCAGCCATTCTGGAGAGAAGGAGAGGCAAGAACTACTCAGAGACCAAATCCAAGCTCCTTGCCTAGGCTCCTTGGGGATTTCCTGAGGAGGGGGAGCTTGCTCTTGGGGCTGGGGACTAACACAGGGCCTGGGTTGTCCACCCATTTTTTCTCTGCCTGTGCAACAATTACATTATATTGGAAAAGACACTCCTTTTTTTTTTTTTGCTATCCATTTACTGTCTTTTTGTTTTTTTCATGTTTTTGCAAGTTTTAACCAACCCCTGCTTATATGTGTATATTACATAGTAGAAAATTGTTCATTGATCTAAGTTATTGAGTCTCAGAGGCCCTGTACTGGGGGCTAGTGAGCTGGGCCCCTGCTGCTGCCTAAACTTCCCTAGAGAGCATCCCTGCTTTCATCTCAAGGACTCACAAAATAGGGTCCTTGCTGCCCTCCCCTCGCTGTCCAGTGTCAGAAACCATGTCCTTGTGTCTGGCCTCCATTTCTCCTGCTTGACTGTGGGTCAGCTCCCACATTAACACTTATTTCTGATTCTTAAAGCTGGCAGGTAGCTAAGTTGGTCTCATCTCTCATTTGAGCTCTAGCAGCCTTGCTCTCCACCCTTCCCAGGAGGATCTGTTTCTTCTTCTGAGGCCCCCTGGGACTTCTTCTCTGGGGAGTCCTCCCAGCCTCCCCTGACTCTACCTGTGCAGGGACACACACAGGGGTCAGCCTTAGCCTACATAAGGACACTCTGCTGAACCCTGAACACACTTTGCCAGCTCAGACATCCTATCCCAGGCAGCAAGCACCCCCATGGTCTGGTGGGAAAGATGTGTGGGCCAGGGCTTCCGGTTATTCACAGACTAGGAGCTGCCAGTGCCTTCCTAATGCATAGATAAGAACCGTTTGTAATTTGCACATGCTTTATGCATGTAAGTATTAATCCACAACATTTAGAGAACCAACTAGTTGGTTTATTTATATAGTGTAAAAGATCCCCTTGCAATCTCAGCATATCCTTATATTTTTTTGAGAAAGCCAAACTTCTGCTAGTCTCAAAGCCCCAAAGATTAAAAACTCAGGTGGATGAGGTCTGTGAGCCAGGTGGGAGGGCCAGGGCAGGACAAGGGATCTGCTTGATCCCATTAAACTCAGCAGCATGTTTGAGCGCCTCTAGGGTTGCGGAGACCCTGTTGGTGAGTGTGAGTGATAGTCTGAGTGACAATGCCGCTGAGGACTGCAGAGAGCACTTAAAAACACTTGCAGCTCGGTCTGTGCGCATTTAATGCTCGTGGACACCCAGCGAGTCTGGGGGGATAGGTAAGCACTTTGTGGAGTAGTATCCCCATTTTCACCTGAGGGAACTGGTTATCAGCGATGTGGCATGAATCTGGTAGGAAGGACTGAAGCCATAACTACAATGCAGGCAGGCCCTTGACTCCAAGCTTGACAGTACCACCATACCTGTCCTCAAGGAGTTTACAGACAGGAAGATGGTGTTAAGCGGGTGTACAAAATAAAGCTTCCTGGAAATAGAGGCCCCCGGCAGGTTCCAGCCTTGTGTAACAGTGCCCCCACCCCAGAGTGCTTGGAGGAAGAGTTGGCTTTGAGCTGGGAGGCGTCTGCCCTGGGAGGAGGGGAGAAAAATGTGGGAAGGGGGTGGGAGGAGAGGGAGATTCCAGGGCAGTGCCTGAGTCCCCTTGGGCACCAGAGTTATGTGCTGGGCTGAGAAGCCCCTTCAGATCTGCCCACAACCACTCTCCGGTTTTTTCCTCTGTTTCCAGAACAAATTTAAGCCTGGGAGTCCCCAAGAAAGCCCGAGAGGACCCCCTGCCTGTGCCCTCAGACCAGCATTCACTCCCTTTCCTGTAGGTTGGTTCCAGCTGCTCAGGTGATAAGGGTTTGTCCTCCGTAGACCAAGCCGATGCTCCTGACCACACATCAGAAGGACCTGGTGGGGTCTGGGGCCCGCAGGGGACAGTGGCACTGTGCCTCCTGCACTCACTCACTCTCCTGGTGCTCCTGGTAGGAGTGGCTGGGCTCAGGACTTGGGCTGTGGCCAGAGGTGGAGTCAGGGGCTGGGTCAGGGCTCAGCATGGCCCACGGGCAACTTGGTCTGGGGCAGGGGACAGGGCTCAGTCTGAGGCTGGGGTTGCCATTCAGCCTGGGGCAGGGCAGGGACTAGAGTTTAGCTCTGTGAACAACTAACTTGTTCAGAAGGGGAAAGGGTGTGGTTTCCAGGGTGGACACCAATTGTGCAGGGACAGCCTCAGCCCCGGCTCTGGAGTGAGCTGGCTTCATTCCCGGTGGTCTCCCCCTGGAAAATGGGCATTGGAAGCTGCATCTTGGATCTGGGATGGGAGGAGGGAACACCCAGCTCTACCCTCCTCCGAGTCTCCTCAGCTCCATCAGGGAGGGTGACACACACCTCTGGAGACAAGCCATGCCATGGCAAGGCGGAGGTGCAGCCAGGAAGCTTTCAGTCCAGGGACTTCACCCACAGCCAGAGGCTCCTGGGTCATGTGGGGCTCCATTCTCCACTTCCAGAGCACCGCCCCCCTGCCTAGGAGCACCCCAGCCTCACACTTCCTGTTAGGTGTCAGCAGCAGGGAATTGTTACCCTCGCTTTGCAGATGGAGAAACTGCGGACCAGAGAAGAAAAGTGGCACCACCTGAGATCACCCAGCCAAACAAAGTCAGTGGCCAAACAAAGCCTTGAGCTCAGGTGCCCCGACCCCACACCAGGGCCCTTCCGTGCTGTCCAGGAGAACAGAGGGCTGGTGTGTCCTCATGGCAGGGAGAATCTGGAGGTGGGCGGGGAAGCCCCCAGGATTTGCTGAGCTGTGCTCTGGCTGGGGTACCAGTGTGGTGGGGAGTGCTTCCTGGGGACTGGGTGGAGTTCTGGTGGTACCCAGCATCGTAGCATCAGGAGGGACCCTGGAGTACATTCAGCTCAAACCACCATGCTCTGTGGACGTCCAGGTGTCCAGTACTACACTGATCCCTAGGGTCACAGAGGTGAAGGAGGCAGGGGTGCTGCCTGCGAAGGGCTCCCCACATGGGTCTCTGTCTAGCATCCTGCTGGCTGTTTCCTAGGTCTGCAGCCCAGGCAGCCCTGCACACAAAGGCCACTGAGGCCTTTGTGGAATTTGGCCCCCGTGGAAACCAGGTGCTGGATCCCTGGGTGGGAGGTGAGAGTGCTGAGACGTGGAAATGGCCTTGACCTTCCTGCGGACACACAGCAAAGCCATGGCACAGCCAGGCTGGGAGGCAAGGCTCGCTGATGTGCAGCCGTGGGTGTGGTGGCCCTGCACCTGCTGTGGGGGTCTCCCACCTGCCGGTTCAGGCTGTCCCTGTTCTCTAGGCAGCTCCCACTCAATGCCCTTGCCTGAGTTTCTTAGCCTCTCTTGGATCCAACTCAGAATTGTCCTCATCAGCCAGCCTAGGTTTGTGTCCTCCTCCTGAGTTTCTTTTCTCTTTCCACTATTTGCCCTGAGTTTTCAGAGATTCCAACATCTCTTTCTGTCTCTGGCTTTTCTACCCTTTCTTGCACCATTCTTTTCAGTGAATCCTTTTGCACAGTCACAGAAAGTTTGGGTCAGGGGAGTGTTTGGGAGGACAGGGACTTCCCTCCCAGATCCGTCTGTCCTGAGCACCCAGCCGGCTATTCATCCTCCGTCCCTGTCAGAACCAGGCACCTGCACACAGTGCAGGGTTTCTCGGCTGACTTGTCACTAGATGATCTTCAGAACACTTCCAAACAATCTTTCCAAAAATCAGAAGAGTCTTTTTTTACTGTCAAAATATGTAGGACCCAAGAAGGGCGGGGACAATTTAGAAGCTAAAGAAAGAGGGTTGTAGATGAAGCTTTAGAATTCAGGGTGAGGCTTTGAGCTTGGTGTGTCGGAGGCAGGGGCTCTAGGTTGGGGTCTTGGGCTCCTGGACCCTGGTTTCTGTGGTTCACTCAGGGTGTGATTTAAGGGTCACTGGGCATAGGAGAGACTAGCTCACCTTCATCTGGGCAAAGAAGATAATGCTTTTGAAGAATAGAATAGCTACCACTCCTAAATACTCAGTGAAGCTCTTTTAGTTATTGAAAAAACAGACTTCTTTGAGTCCGTCTCTGTATGTGTATGAAACAGACCTTTGACACTCCGTGGAACTTCTTGGGTGCATGAAGGCCTCACGATAGTGCTTCTCAAGCTTTGATGTGCTTGTGGATCACCTGGTATCTGTTAAGAAGTGCAGATTCTGAGCCAGCAGGTCTGGGGTGGTGCCAGAGCCTGCACTTCTAACAAGCCCTCAGGTGGAGCTGATTGATGCTGATGGTCTGGGGACACAGTCTGCGTAGCGAAGCATCGAACCATCTCTCTGTGCTCCTCTTCTAGAAAACGGGGTGTTTCTCTTCTTCCCAGTGTGGGGTGAGCTGAAGGCTGCTGCTTATTAAGTGAAAACCACAAACCCAAAGAGGCACAGATGCTTGGGCAGGCCTGGGCTTGACCCATCTTGGAAGTGGGTGGTACAAATTCTTGCCTTAGCGAAATGACATGTCACCACCTGTCAGTACCTTCAGACTTCCTCTCAAAGAGTGGGAGTCACAAGCAGTAAATCCAGGAGTGCCACAGGTCTAGTCTCTCTGCATGTCTGTCCTCATTCGCATCAGATCACACCCGGTTTATTGACTCGCTGGCCTGTACCAGGAGCGCCACATGGCACCTGAGGAGGGTGAGTGAGATGGCAGCTCTGCTGTAGTCTGATGAGATGACACAGCTCTTAATCCATCTCTCTTATGTCTGTCAGGGAAGAGAAAGAAGCGTCCATGGCTTGTGCCAGCCCGTGCTCGAGCAGGACTGTGCAGGGCTGGAGCGGTGGAGAATCAGCCTGAGACCTCTCTGAGGAGATGGAAGCTCTGGCCCCACCCAGTGGGATGCAGAGTGAGGCTGCGCCCACCTCCTTGCAGGGCTGTGTCTGCAGTTTCAAAGTGCTCCTCTTAGCCCCCAGAACTTTGAACTTTTCTCAGAAGACTAGCCCAGGGTTGTCCAGTAGGACTCTCCACAGTGATGGAAATGCCCGTTGTCTGTGCTGTCCAATCTGGTAACCACTAGCTCCACGGGGCTGTTGAGCCCCTGAAAAATAGCTGAGACTGCTGAGGAAGTGGGTTTTTCATTTGGTCTAATTTTTGTTAGTTTGAATTCGAATAGCCACACATGGGTAGTGGCTACCAGATTGGATAGTGCAGGTCTAGGCTAATAGTCTGTTCAATTCTACCTATCTCTGCTCCCCCATGTGCACTGACAGGAGGTACCTGGGGACACAGAGGAAGGTGTGGGCCAGAGGGTTGGGGGAAGGCCAGTGGACACCCACATCTGCCTTTGCAGCCAAGCACAGAGCTGGGGTGTGAGCCCCGTGCGTGAGTTTTCAGCTGCGCACCTTGCTGAGTGACCTTTGGTGAGGCTGTGCTCTGAGTTTGGAGCTGGCTCTGGAAGCAGCCTCTGGCTCCTGTGCGAGGCCCGGCCCGGGCCCCGTCTTCCTAACACACACCTGCCCTCCAAGCCCACCCGCCTGTCAGTGGCCCCACGTGAGTGCTTGTGTGTGCGTGCCCACATACACGTATGGATGTGCATTTCTCTGTCCCGAGCTGCTCCTGTGTTGGCACTCGTGACTACCTTCTCCACACCCTCCTATGCCCTCCCCAGCCCCACCTCAGTGTCTTCACTGCCTGACACCCCCAGCTGACACAAGTGCTAATCTTGTCACACCCAGCAGCTGCGTGCAGAAATGCTACTGCAAGCCACAGCGGGCTCAGCAGCACTCTTGCAAGATGTCAGAACTGTCCACCATCACTCTGTAAGTGTGCGTGGCCGTGGCTGTGGTCGGGTGTCCTGGAGGGAGGGGGACGCATGCTGCCACCGCCGCTGCCTTGAGCTTGCGTCCGCCAGGCTGGAGGAGAATGGAGAGCCAGCCTGTGCCTCCCGGCCCTGGCTGCTGCATGTTGATGTCTGTGTCTTGTGAGTTCTCTGCAATCTGGTGCCATGGGGCGGGAGGGCAGGGTGTGAGGCGGAGCCGTGGCCTGTGGTGGGAGCATTCTGGGGCTTGGCTTGTGCTGCCAGTGCTGCCTCGTAGGTGGTCTTCCCCCAACCCCCACTTCTCTGGGCTTCAGTCTCGGCAGCTGTGAAATTATTTGTAGGTCTTAGAGCTTGAGTTTATACAGACCGTCCCCCTCCATGGGGCAGGGGACCTCACTCTAGTGTTTCCAGCACTTCATGTGTGCGTTGGCATTAACTCGCTTAATGCCCACGCAATCCTCTGAGATGGGTGCTTGGATTATCTCCATTTTACAGATGAGAAAGCTGAAGCACAGAGAGGGGAAGTGACTTACTCAAGACCACACAGTTGGCAGAGTGAGGATTTAAACCAGGGAGTGCTAAGTGCTGTGCCCCCAGGCATCTCTGACCAGAACATGGGCCTCAGTGTGGATGTGCCGTCAAGTTGGGGGCCGCTGCATCCCTGGGCAGCCTGCTGTAACTTGGGCAGCCTGACCAGTGGAAGCGCTTGGTATTTTAGGACTCGTCTGCCTGTTGATGTCTCCTTGGGGCAGGAGGACAGGACTGAGCCTGTGTCACTGTCTCTGAGTTACTCAGACTGTAGTGTGAGGCTCACATCATGTGTCCCCACTCCAAGGCCTTTGGGCAGCTCAGCACTACAGAAGCCCCAGACCCCTGGGCTCTAGAGGCCTCCACATCTGTCCCTACTGCAGTGGGGCCACTGGCACGCCCTGGGTCCCCAGCAGAAATCCCTGACTGCCGGGGCTGCTGGGAGGGAAGGTGTTGCCTGCGCTGCAGTCACCATACCCATCCTGTGGCTGGGAAGGGCCTGAGCCCACGCCTGAGGGGGCCTGTTTCTCACACTCCGAGCCTGACCCATCTACTGCCACCATGGAAGCTGGAGAGGTTTGACCTCTTGGTTTCGAGGGCCCTTTTGAGACTGCAGAGACAAGCAGCTGGAAACAGATCCATCATGGGATGGGAGGAAGGCAGGGGCCGCAGGCCTAAGGCAGGGCTGGCACCCTTCCTGATCTCCTTCAATGAAACATCTCTTTAAAGTAACGCTTTTACGCAGCGCCACAGAGGAGCCCCAAGACATCCATGTGCATGCATTCCCAGCCACTTTCCTCTGCTTTCCTGGATCTCCTTTGACAAACATTCCCTGCTGCCTCCTGGTGCCAGGCATAGGACACAGAGAGATGAATGTTCGATTTTAAGGACCTGAGGCTCTCACACCAGGCCTGTGTGGTCCATTTATCTTCTCATGGAGCAAACATTTTCTGAGTGTCAGCTCCGAGCCGGGCAAGTGTTTGCCATGGAAGGTAACAGAGATAAACAAGGCAGGTCGCCCCTGCCTTCATGGTGCCATGGTCAGAGACGGAGAGATAAGAGAAGACAGAAAGGACAGACCACTCAGGACCGCATCAGGACTCAGAGCAGGGACCAGCTCAGATCCTGCTGGCCCTAGCTCTGGCTCAGTGACTCCCGGGTCCTGCAGAATGTGTTTCCTGTGAGCAGGGAGGGGACGGGTGGGCCCCATACTTGAGGGGACTCTTCTTTTCTGGGCTGAGCTTCCTCTGCCTGGAGGTGTCCTCAGGCTGTTTCTGCTTCTTGCTCTCTGTCTCCTTCCCTCCTCTTTCTTCCTCTCCCTTCCCTCCTTCCTTCTCCATCAGCAGAAGCTGTGAAGCCAAGGGCCTCACACACACTCCATCCAATCTCTCTAGAAATCCAGAGCTCTGGGCTGGCTGGTTAGGTCAGTTGGTTAGAGCATACCCTTATAACACCAAGGTCATGGCTTCGGATCCCCATACCAGCCAGCTGCCCCCTCCAAAAAAGAAAAGAACTCCCACATTTCACAGAATGGTCTCTCCCAGAAAGGTGGGATGGAAGAAGGAGGGGCTTGTGGTGTAATTGCCCCTGTGAACCGAGCTCTGCCAGGAGAGGGTAGGGAGCTGGGCTGGTGCAACAGAGGGGGCGGGCCCGTCTGCAGCAGGGTGGTCTCTGGAGATCCCCAGGGAGCCGGGGTGCTGGATGGGCAGAGATGGGTCCCACTCTGGAGAACCCCTGGGGGCCCCCCTCCCCCATAGAGCAGGACCCACGAGTGCACCTGCTCTGATGCTCTAACCGTGGGCTTCTGTGCCCCACACCCTCAGAACAGAGCCCCACCCAGTGCGGGCCCAGGGGCCAGTGCAGGCAGGTGGGCCCTTTGAGCCCTGCTCCCCGCCAATCCTGCCTCAGAGCAGACGACCTTCCTTCCTCTGACTCACAGGACATTGTTGATGCCCAGAGTCAGAAGTTCTTTCTAGAATCCCTCCCTCCCTGTCACAGGACGTCCTGGTCACTGTCACTGAGTGGCCCTGGCTAGCCCCAGACTTAAGAAAACCAACTGTCCCTGTGGCCCCTTTGGGGCTGCTCTTCACTGGTCCATGGAGCTTCCTGACAGAACAGGAGAATGTTGGCTTTGCTTGACAACCGTTGCTTCCCTCAAGCCCTCTGAATCCCGTCCCCGTGTCTTGTCCTGACTTCACTTCCACTAGGATTTTGCACATCACACAAGGGTCCCTGTACATTGCGTGTACATTTTTAGTGGTTCTACAGGATGCTGGCTGGATGCCCTGCAGACGGGGATGCCCCCCACAGTTCCTAGGGAGTCCTGGAAGCCCGGGCTCTGGTTGGCCTCCATCCCTCCCAGGCCCCTTGCACTGGAGAGAATGCTGGGGGCAGGAGGGGGTCTGTGGACAGGGCCCCCAGCTCAGGGGGAGAGCGAGGGGCTGGGACTGAGTTCTCTGCCCTCTGCGGCTCTGGTGCCAAGCCTTGGCAGCGCCTGCAGCAGATGTCTTGCTTTGTCCCGACAGGCGGCTCGCCCGGTCCACCCTGCTGCTCATCCCACTGTTCGGAATCCACTACACGGTCTTCGCCTTCTCCCCAGAGTATGTCAGCAAGAGGGAGAGACTCGTGTTTGAGCTGGGGCTGGGCTCCTTCCAGGTAGGCCTGGCACATGTGGAGGGCAGAACTAGCAGGCAGCAGGGCTCTGGCCTCTAACCTGCTGGTGGTTGTGGGACCTCTTTAGCCCAGACTCTGGGCCTCAGTGTTGTCCCTGAAAGAACAGTGCTAGGATAGAAGTGAGCTGAGAGAGCCCTGTCTGCCATCTGTCCGCTGGGCTCCTGCAGGAAGACACTAATGTCTGGCTGTTGCTGTGTCTGGGTGTCCTGAGCCAGACTCCCCTTGGGTGATCTGAGAGGGCAGCTCCCACCGGCCTGGGTGCGGGGTGGAGTGGCCTCAGAGCCCTGTGGGTCCACATCCTGACTTTGGCCTGCTGGATTGTGCTCATCCTGAGGGCTGGAGTTCTGTCCTACCCAAGTCAGGGCCACAGCCTAGGACCTGGCCACAGGGAGCAGGTGAGCTGGACAGGTACGTGAGCAAGAGGAACATAAGGGAGAGCATGGGAAGTAGAGAGGATGGGATGAAGCCTGTGTGCGTGAAGAGGTAAGTAGGGGGCTGGAAACATGCGAGGGAGTCATGGTGACGAGGTGAGTCATTGAGAGCAGTGGGTCCACGGGGGTGGGGATGGCTCCCTCAAGCATCCCAGGACAGTGTCTCTCCCAGAGCCAGCATCTAAGCTGGTGTTTGATCCTGATGGTCAGAAGGTTACTATGTGCATCTGCCTTGAATCCATCTTCCCCCATTTTAATTCAAGTCCGTTTTACCTGATTCAGGTTTTTAGCCCGCTGAGCCTGGGAATTTTGCAGACAAAGCCCTGGCCCGGGGATCAGAGCCCCGGGCTCCTGTCTCTGTGCTCGCTGACATATTCTGGGGGCCTCAAGCGATCACTTCTCCTACACCTTCAAGTGATAGCACAGGGCACAGGGATGGTGAAGAACTGATTTGCAACATTTCCAAAAATGTTACTGCTTTGTTTGGTGTAGGTGTAGAGGATATGTGTGGACTAGCTAAGTGCATGCTCTGTGCCAAGTACTTGCTCCGCGTGGTGTTTTGTGTGGCTGTGTACAAGAGTGTCTGGCAGAATGGGGAGGGGGCAGTGGACAACACAGGTCTGTTCTGTCCTGGAGGGGCCCTGCCCTCAGGAGGCTGCAGGCTGGTTGGGGAACTTAGAGAATATTCTGGGGCATTCAGCGAAGGCTTCTGATAGAGAGTGGGAGAAAGCTGGCCTTTGGGACTGAGAAAGATTTGAGCAAGGGAGTGTGAGGTCCAAAGCCAGAGTGTAGCAGTGAGAGGGGACTTACCCACCAGCCACCTGGTTTTGTGGGTATGCCCACCTTGGTGGAGCAGAGCTTGTCCTGTCTTACCCTAGGTCTTTGGGCAGGTGTCCCTGCCCACGTCATGGTATTTTTCTGCTTCCTGGCGTCATCCCCCATCCCACTCTGGTGTTCTTTCTCAGGTTTCTTTTTCCTCTCTCTCCCCAGGGCTTTGTGGTAGCTGTTCTCTACTGCTTTCTGAATGGGGAGGTAAGACCCTGGCCCTCTGGCTTCTCAGCAGTGGAAGTGGGGGTGCTGGGGAGTGGCCTGCCAGACACACAGGGCTTCTTTCCCAGATGAGGTCCCTGCCGGGCTCCCAGCACTGAGTGGAGGGGGCCAGTCACACAGCTACTAGCATCATGTGGGACTAGGGGCTCCTGACACTCTCTACCCTGTGCCAGAATCTCTCCCATTCTGCCAGCTGTCCCGGCATGTAGAGCAGAGCTCCCCTAGCAAAGGCATCAGCTGTGCTGAGTGCAGATCTCCTGGGAGGGGCTCTCCTGTAAGACACCCCTTAGTATGGAAGGGCCAGGCACAGCGAACAGTGCCTGCCAGTCATGAGGCTGCACTGGGCAGAGCTGTTGAGCTGGAGCTGCCCCTAGCAGGCCAGCCTGTCTGGGCCAAACCTGTCCCCTGGAAGAGTGGGAACTGTGAGGATTTGGGAGAGACCTGGAACTTTCTGGTAATGCTTCTATTCCACAGATGTGGTTTAGAGACTCCCCCTCTATCCTGTTGGGGTGATGTTCTTTGAGCATAGCCCAGAACAGAGGTACAGAGGCAGGGGTGGGGGCTGGATGGGTGGGGTGGGTTTGCAGAGTGTTCAGGAATCTTTGCACTAGTACTTGGGTCTTACCTTCTGACCTGGGTAGGCCCCTCCTCTTTTTTGCATCTGAGAAACAATGAGATTGAGCTCAGTGATCTCTAAGACAACCTGCAGAAGGGTCAGATAAGGAGAGGTAGAGCGGGCCCTGCAGCAGTGGCTGGGAAAGCCAAGAGGTGGGAGTATGTGTAGCCTGTCAAGGGCCCACAACAGAAGTGGGGGCTGGAGCTGGAGAGCGTGGGTGTGTGCGCCACTTCCAGTCGGACAGTTCCTGTGCTGCACAAAGGTGCTGGGTTTAGGAAGCATACGGAGGCTGAGACTTGATGTGGCCGCCACTCACTGTGCTAAGAGCTACACAGGGGTGTGTTCACCCAGAGGGGGGCATTATTTAGTGGTTCTCAATCCTGACTGCACATTGGCATCACCTGGGAAACTTTAAAAAATATGAATGTCCAGGTCTTACCCAGAGATTTTGATATAATTGTTCTGGGGTATGGTCTGGGCACCTGGAGTTTTTAAAGCTTCCTGGTGACTACTATGCAGCTTACTGCTTATGGTCAGTGAGTGGGGATCCTTGCCCTGACCCATCTGCCCTGAGCAGCTGCTTGTTAAAGGTTTCCTGAAAGACCTTATGGGCTAGTCTCTGCCCACTGACAACTGGAAGCTGTTAGAGGGCCTTTCTCAGACAGTGGCTTGGGGGAAGGGGCTGTGCAGGTCAGCTCCTCAGAGACATTCCATTCCATGGCTGGTAACAGCTCCCACTGGTGGCCTTGAAGGCTACAGGCTGCATGTGGGGAACAGGACAGGTGCTGGAGGTGACAGTGCCAGTCTGGGGAAAGGCCCAGGCCAGGACAGGACCTGGTGGCTGGAGAGGATGTCCACCCAAAGTGACCACCAAGTTGCTCCCTGCAGGTGCAGGCGGAGATCAAGCGCAAATGGCGGAGCTGGAAGGTGAACCGTTACTTCACTGTGGACTTCAAGCACCGGCACCCGTCCCTGGCCAGCAGCGGGGTGAACGGGGGCACCCAGCTCTCCATCCTGAGCAAGAGCAGCTCCCAGATCCGCATGTCCGGCCTCCCGGCCGACAACCTGGCCACCTGAGCCGCAGCCCTCGCTTCTCCTCCACACACAGGTTGGGGCTGCGGGCAGGCGCTGGCCTCGCGTGCTCGTGCCTCTTCCCTCTCCTGGGCAGGCCCTGGGCTGGAAGCTGGCTCCCCGAGGCAGGTGAAGGAGGCAGGGCACAGACTGCTACTGCCCCTCCCCGTTTTGGTACTGGCCACCACGGTCCCCTGGACCCTGACCCCAGATATGTAAATACTCCTCACATTTGAAAGAGTCATCACATCCTCTGTCCTTTGCCCCAGTGCCCTGCTCACCTCAAGCCAGGTCCCAGCTCTACCCGCTGCTTCCTGGCCAGCCTCAGTGATGGCCTGACCCCAGGCGTGAGGCCTTGTGAGCTCAGGCTGCAGAGACTTTGCTTTTGGGAGGCCAGGTGGTGCCTACCCTGACAGTCCCCGCAATGTCTGATTTGGATGTGGATGCCTCCATTCTGCTCACCGCTGTGGGGCCCTTCTCAGGCCTGGCCCAGTCCCTGAGGCTTGCTGGAGATTTAGCTTGGGTGGCCACAGTTCCCTTCAGTGCAGGCCAGCCTGGGGCTCCCTCGTGCTTCCCCAGCACCCTGGATACCAGGCCAGTGGTCAGCTCCAGGGCTCTTCTTATTGGAGACTGCAGTTTGGGTGGGGAGCTGAGCGTCAGGGAAAGTTCTGGTGCTTTTCATTTGATCCAAGAAGAGCTGAGAGCCGGAAATGTGGATGTGATTGTGAAGGAGATGGAAAGAATTTGAGAGACCCATGGAAGAAGACCTTCACCATCTCCATTATTTTACCTGATTCAAGATGGGCAGGGTTCATCTGGTAGCTCCTTTCTTGCCTCTCCAGCCCCCAGTGGATGCCCAGCGAAGCTGCTCCCCAACCATGCCCACCACAGAGAGCCCCAAGCCCTCCCCCTACCCATGTTGCCCTTAAGTCAAAGCCATGACTAGGATGAGCCAGCCACCTGCCTGTGATGTCAGCGAATCCTGAAGCACTTTCACCTCCATGTGCCCTAGCCAGGGCCCAGGGCTCCCCCACCTCACCCTTGTGGGTGGTGAGGAGCCCCAGACACCAGCTCCTGCGGCCTGGACTCAAATACTGAAATCTCCGGAGACCTCTGCAAAGACCTCCCCCTGTGTGCCATGTGACAGTGAGTCACCGTGGGGAAGCCACACCCAGCATGCCCTTGAGCAAAAGCTGCCAACAGGAGGAGTGGCTGTCCCCCAACTCCCACCCTCCAGCCGCAGCTTAAAAATTTCAAATAGGGCAGAACCAGGCGTGGGGAAGGTACAGGAAAGTGCTGTAGAGCACAGCCCTGTGGGCTGAGTTCTCTCCATGTCAGCTCTTGGTGGTGCTCCTGTCCCAATGTATTTGTGGGCTTGTTCCATGACCATGTTCTGGAATGCTTGGGGAGTTTGGGTGGATGTTGCTTTGCTTGATTTTGTAAAGAGGAAGGGGCCTGGGGGACTTGGGAAAAATGCTTCTGGAGAGGCCTTCAGAGTGACTGGAGAAGGCTCTAGTTGCTGTGGTTTAGAGATGAGCCTTATATCCTTGGCCAGCGAAGTCCAAAGCCAGAATGGGAAATGAGCTGCCTGCCCTTTCCTGGGCACATTGGGCTGGCCACAGGTGTCCATGGCTCTTCCATTCTACACCTGACCTTGTGATCGCCTTCTCCTGCTCTGGGAGCCAGGTGCATTACCCAAGCAAGTGTCCACTGGCCACCATACACTTTGGTCACTGCTAGGCGGCCTGAGCTGCTTGGGAGGAGCCACAGCATGGGACTCAGAAACCCAGAATCTGCCTCCATTGGGCACAGACTGCTGTGACTGTGGACACAATGCTCCCTGTTCTGGGCCTCAGTTTCCCCACATGTGAGATGAGTCAACTTCTAATGCTTCTCCAAGCTCTGCACTTCAGTAATTTTCCAATTCAAGACTAAGGCAGGTGAAAGGCATGCATCGTTGTTGTGTGTGCCATCTCAGGTTCTGGGATGTGTGTGGGGTGGGGGAGCGCTGTTTATTTTCCATTTCTTAGAAATGGAACTTCTGTCTCTTCCATTGGGACACCACGGTGGAAGCTGGTGGGCTGGAAGGATCAGGCCATGGCTGTTTGAACAGGTGCCTTGGGCATGACGTGCAGACCCAGCTCTACATACGTGGCTGGGGTGGGGCACCACCCCCAGGGGCAAACCCCGCCTGCAAGGAGCTGTCCCCTGAGTGTGGCCCTGTTCATTGGTCATCACCTCCACCAGCAGGTGTGCTTCACCGTGGAAGAAGAAACTTTGGCTTCAGAGATACGTCATCACAAAAGAGCAAAGTCAAAATCAACCCTGAGCCTATTCACCCTGCTGCTTCCTGAGCCCTGGGCCTGTGTTCTCATTCAGGTTCTGGGTTCCTATCGGTTTCTTGATTTTTCTGTCTGGATGAATTTTTGCCAATCCCGTGAGCAGATGTGCCTGATGTATTTGTATTCTCAGTGTTTCAGGAGGTTCTGGCTTTTAGGGTCACAGGCAATGAGGGGTGCAGCTTGAGGTCTGAGTAGAATTCTTCCCTCTGACCCTCTGTTTTCAAATCTGTAAAATGGGCAGTAAGACTAGGTGATTCATAGCCCAGTGCTTCTTTGGAATTCCATCTAAACACCAGCCATCTACTGGGAATGGGCCCCAGGCAAGGGTTGTGGCATTTGCCTGGACCGGGAAAGGGTAAGAAATCCTGTTGTGAAGAGAGCTGTATGGACATGGAAAGTGCAGATTAGAGAGGAACAGAGCTGTAGACTCCATGCCAATAGAGGATCATTACTGGGTAAGGGGTTCTTCTGGTCTCTGCAAACCTAGAGGGCAAAACTCACCCGTGGGAGGGAGAATTCTTGGAATGAAGCAATCTCATCTGCTGTCATGACTGTCCAGCCATGGGGTGAGCAGGCAGTGCCAGGAGGGGGACTCTAGACCTGGGGGAAGTGGGATTCCAAGTCAGCAATGCTGAGGCTGTTGGGGTCAGAGCTGGGGTCAGAGTGTGGGATGTGGGTGGTGCAGTGGCTTTCTTCTGGTACCCAGCACTGTGGGCTTCAGGACTCCCTGCCGTGCTTGAGGCCAGGCTACACTCCCAGTCTCAGTGGGCAGCTGTGACCCTCCTTGAAACAACCAGTGGCCCACAGTGATTCCTTCCCTCCTGTAACCTCACCCCCTCCGAACTGGGTTCTCTGGGGAAGGGGTCAGGAGCTAGAGCCAAGCCAAAAGCCTGAAATACATCCATGTCCTTCCTCACCCACCCTGGGTGCCGACCCATCTCCTTGATCTGACCCTCGCTGTTCCTGGAATGGGAAGCTAGAAGAAGCTCTCTTTTGAATTGAGTACCTGCCCCCTTCAGGAACGCTCCAAAGTGAAAGTAATGAGCACTTTGTCATCGTGAATTACTACTTGAGCCCAGGGACCGTGAAAGCCCTCCAGGAGAGCCCTGAGCAAGGAGTGGGGGGCCCTGGGCTCCTAGCTATGCCACTGACTATTTGACTTTGACTTATCCCCTATATATCTTTGGGGAGACTCACAGACTGCTAGAGCTGGGAAAAAACTTTGAGATCTGCAGGTCAAACCTCCCCATAGGGCTGATGGATTTGACTTTGACTTATCCCCTATATATCTTTGGGGAGACTCACAGACTGCTAGAGCTGGGAAGAAACTTTGAGATCTGCAGGTCAAACCTCCCCATAGGGCTGATGGGGAAACACAGGTGAGCCTAGCAGGGCGCTTGCCACTGTGCTGGGATCAGTATGTGCACAGCTCTGCATGTGAGCCAGGACATGACACTCCAAGCATCCGCACAATGACACAACCTTGCACAGGAGAGGGGCTCCAGCTACAGGAAGTTGTTGAGGCGCCGGACTGCAGAAGTGATGGAGTCAGCCTGGCGTGGGGAGGCCTGCTCTGATCCAGGGCTCCCCCTCTCTCTGGGCCTCGCCTCCTAGTCTGAGGAGTGGGAGGACATGATTTGAATCGTCTACCCTGCAAGCCAGTGATGAGGGTGAAGGGAGGTGCCCTTGTGTGTGAAAGGGCTTTGGAAACTGCAGCTATGGGCTCATTACCAGGGTGAAGACCCCTGAAAGGGACTCCTTGCTGTGTGTCTACTGCTTTGAGCCCTCCCATTGGTAAAACCACCAGCATTGGGGGTGGGGGAAGGCCAGAGGGCCCTGACGAGCATGGAATTCCAGCTTTATTTTCATCAGCTGATTCAGCTTGCTCTTGGGATTAGGGTGGGTAGACTTCCATGTACATGATGTCAGCACTTCCTTGCCCTGCCTCTGGGAATCCTCCAAGGATTTGGGATGTTTCTTAAATGGGCCGTGTGCCCATCCCTTTCTCTTTCCCTGAACTTGAGGCCCTGGATGCGTCTGCACTCAGCTGTGTGTGTCGTGTCTGATGTCTGTCTTCTGTAGCTTTGCCCCATCAGGGCTGGAGTGCACAGCCCTGTATCTCAGGCATGGTTCTGGGCTCGCTCGTGGGAGCTGGACCTGCCTGGGTTTCATCTCCCTCAATAAAGATAAGCCCCACAGACCTCACTGCAACTGCTGCTGCCACTAATGCTGTGCTCACAATCTTGTCCGGGATTTTAAGAATGTCAGTCTGCTGTAGGTGACTCAATAAATGTCTTATCATTTTTCCTGGTGGCTTTTCCTGTAACTTGGTGGAAGTGGAGGGTAGGGAGGAAAGGAGGTGGGGGGGGAGAGGACTGTCCAACAAAATCATATTATCCCTGAGTGATCCAGTCTACAAAGCACTGTGACCTTTGATCCTGAGGGCGAGGTCTGAGGATGGGCCTGAACAAGCTTAGGACAGACTTGGAAAAGTAAAGGACCAGTCTTGGCCTCAAAAGGATCTGCAAGGATCATGCATCTTGACAAGATCACTTGGAAGTCTTGGTTTCCTAGAAATGGAAGCAACTTGCCCCACAGGCTTTGGCACCTCGTAGCTTTCATGTCATTCTGGGCATGGTAGGAAGGTTGCATTCAAGAAGCAAGAGTGAAGAGCCAAAAGTAAGTTGAAAGGCCTGAATTTTATATTAGGCTTGAATTTCTTGGCAGCTGTGAAGATCATCAGACTCCTTAGTCCCTGTGAGTGCTTATTAAATCTCATTTCCCCTACTCATATTGATGGACTATTCCAGCCCTCTTTTCTCCCAAGCCCCTCAAAAGGATATGCTGACTCCTGGTTGTCCCTGACGACGCTCTGTTCTACTGGTAGTGTGAGTCATTCCTCTTGGGAGCCCAGCAGTTCTTAAACTTTAGCCTGCATCAGTGTTCTCTGAGGGGTTGTTTAAACTTGGATTGCTGGACCCATTCCCAAAATTTTGGGTCTGGTAGGTCTGAGGTAGTGCTTGACAATTTGCATTTGTAAAAAGTTCTCAGGTGCTTCTGCTGTTGGGAAGACAATATTTTAAGAACCATTGCTCTTGAGGCTCTAACCAAGGATACTGGGTGGGAATCCCAGCCCCTGCGTGTGCACCTTGGGCCTGGCAGGGGTTAACTTCCCCGGAGGCAGAGAACAAACATGGACATCGGCAGCATGACCCCTCATTTACATTTCCTCTTGGGCTAGTGACAGGAACAGGAGGTGAAAAGGTCCAAAGGAAACCTGCCTATGTATGTCTATTTAGTCTCTATCAAAGTGAGTATAAGGCTGTCTCTGGACCAACTGGATTGAGTTCAGTGGGCTATAACAGAAAACCCCAATAACAAGTGGCTTAAAGAAGACAGACGTTTACTGCTCTCATATCAAGTCCAGAGGTAGATAAACCAGAGCTGCTGATGTGGCTTCCTGGTCTCTAGGGACTCAAGTGTCTATCTGCTCCTCCATCCTTATCACGTGAGTTCCAGTTCCCAGGTCATCTCATGGTCCAAGATGGCTCCTGGAGCCCTGGGTGTCACTTGACTCAGAGGGAAATGGGAGAAGGAAAGGATCTCTCCTCCTACGTTAGTCATCTTTTAAGAAGCCTCATATCTGTTTACATCTCAATGGCCAGTGTTTAGTCACATAGCCACGGCTCACTGCAAGGCCGGCAATTTATTGCATCTTAGTACAATTGGAACAGGAGAATGGAACAGTTGTATGTCATCATCTCAAACCCTAGCCTCTTTGGGCAGTCCCATGGTGGTCAAGCGGCTCATCCACGCCTGTGGGAGACTAGAGGTTGAGTGGCTGTGTGGGTGTCTCAGTTTACTATATTGAGAGCAAAGCATGGGTGCAGTCTTCAACCTGGACCACAGGATGACTCAAGAGTTGCCTGTTCAAGACAGGGGTTGCTTGTTGCTGCCCGTTGAAACCCAGCCCAGTCTCTGGGGAGGACAGGGCTGTATCATTCCTGTTTCCCTCCATCCTGGGTGGTCTCTCTCATGGGCTGCATTTCCTAAGGGGGTTCTGTGCCCTGATTAATCAATTAATCACACCAATTAATCTTTTTGGGATTTGGGGGATCTTCAGAGTAGTGATGTTGCTTTTTCAGGGGGAAAGGGGGCTTGTAATTCCTGCCTGTCAGTCACCCTCAAGTGAACTCAGTGGAGATGCTTCTGAGGCTCCCATCTCTGTGAGGCTGCTCCCTCACGGACAGCCCATTGCAGCAGCTCTGCCTTGAACACAAAGATGGCTCCCCCACCCCACCCTCGTCCTGCATGTGAGGTTATGAATTCAACGTGTAAAACTCACTCACTGAAAGCTCTTCCACACGCTCATTCTAGGCCAGAGAGGCAGTCCTTAGCATATGACAGGCACTATGGTTTTAAGTCCAGAAACAACCTTTTGGTTGTTTAGGTTTGTCTTGTAGACACTCAAGTAGAGATCATTTTTCTTGGCCTCCGAAATTGTTCTTTCCTGACCTTCCATAAAAAGAGTCTTGGAAGTGTCAATCTTTTTTGAAGGAGGATGGTGGCAATAGGGTGTGTGGCTTTCATTTATTTATTCAACAAATATTTATCGAGCACCTACTTTTCATTTAACAAATGCTTCTCGAGTGCTGTCTGTGTGCCAGGAACTGTTCTCAGGCACTGGTAAGTATCTCAGAAGAGGTCCCTGCTCTCATGAGCTCACATTCTACTGTGCACAGTCAGTGAGTAAATGAAGGAAGAATGTGATGTTAGATCGAGGACAGAGTCATGAAGAAAATAAAGCAGTTAATGAGTAGAGAGTACTGGGGCTGGGCTGGGCTATTTTAGATAGTGCAGCCAGGGAAGGCCAGAGGTGCAGCATGTAAGCATTTGAGCATTCCGAGCCTCAGAGCCTCATTAGGTCGTCTCCTGTTTGACCCCACTGACATTTATGGGAAGAGCATCCCAGGTAGAGGGACCACCAAGAGTAAGTGCACTAAGATAGGAAATGAACTAACATGTAATGTGTATTAGTTTGCTAGGGCTGCTGTAACAAATGACCACAAACTGTGTGTCTTAGACATTTATTTTAACAA